GCCAGTCTATACAAAGTTAAAATATACGTTTCAGGAGGCCTAACCCATTATGATGTCCTTAGACAGTAAGTGAATAGACTGTTTTTTCCCGGTGTTCTACTGGTCTAGGTGCAGCTTATCCGTATGGATATGGAGGTCCTGGCTTCCAGGTTGTAAAATGGCCGCGGTTGTATCCCCACCTCCTGGGTCAATGGTATTTAAGGAGAGTGAGGAGACACGTCCGTATCCCTGTTGATAAAGTCCGGATGTGACGAAACGCGTCCGGGGCACGTGATGTGGTGACGTTCTGACGCTCTTCCGGAAGTGCTGTGGCAGCCATTTTTGTTCTTGGAACACGCGGCTGTGTATTCCCTGAAATCCTCCATACAGGTGTATGGGTAGTGGGGAACTCATTACCAATTATATATTTCTTCTCTGAAGTGGTATGCTGAGGATATTGTAACACCACTGAGGAGAGGGTCGATTGTGGAATCAATCGCTTTGTGTGTGGAAGCTGATCTCTGCTTATTTTAATGTAAGTTGCTATATTAAAGTACTGTGATTATTTATTATATACACTGATTCCTGGTCTGTTTATGAGGTCTATGGGAAGTGGTTGGAAAGGTTGAAGGAAAAAGGTTGGAATTAATCTCATCTATGGCTTGTGTTACTACCTTGAGGGTAATTATGCACTTCTGATATTTGTGTGCAGTGAACAACATATAAAGCAGGGGTATTTTTCTCACGGTTGCTGTGACACGGGAGTGGTTTTGCATGTAACACGTGTGGCACTTTTTATTATATTTTGGATGGTATTTGGATAAAGCACTATGTCGAGTTTTTTTCTTTGAGGTATATAAAGATTTATTTTTGGATTACACCAAAAAAGGCGGTTTGAAGATACGAAGATTTAAGGAAGATTTAAGAAAGTATTGTTTTAGAGTTAACTGTTTTTGGGAGTTATTTGGATTTTGATTTTTTGGATTTTTTGGACTATTATTTTGGGACTTTATACACCAATATAAGAATTTTTGGGACTTATTTTGGGACTTTATACACGAATATTGAATTTTTTGTTACCAAGTGTGCTTAATGATTAATTGATTTAAGTGAATAAACTTGTTAAGGAATAATAATCTCTTGTGGATCTTTAATGGATTTGGCAAACAACACAATCATGTTATTGGCTGTCAGTAAAGACCTGGGCTTCCTTAACTTGCAACATGGAATCAGAAAAAATTACTTTCGTCTTCTTAGAATCATTTTGTGAAACTATCTTCTCAGCATATATTAAAAAAAAAAAAAAAATCTGCAGGGGTTGATGCTGGACAAATAGCACACATCACTGCTATCTGAATACCAATATTCCTGAAAGGGAATTCAATGAGGTACTGCATAAATATGGACATACAAACTTGGTCTAAACAGACATGTAATGTACACAGTTCCATAAAAAAAATTGTGACTGCCTGATCTATCGCCAACTGTTCTCCAATCAAATTACTCACCAAAAAGATGCCTGTTATGGGAGAAACATGGAAGCAGCCATTGCTAATCTCCCTATTTGAAAATACTACCTATCGGCTGAAAAAATATTTTTGCTTTTAAACTTTAAAAAAGAAGAATGGGATTACAAAAAAATAAATATACATACTCACCTAAGTGAATGCAGCATTGTTCCAATGTTGCGTCTGTCCCCTGCTGCCTCTAAGAACGAGTACTGAGCAATCAAAGACCGCTGATCGCTCAGTTCAGTCTACAGTGAACAGAGTGGTGCATGTCAGTCACCGACTCTCTGCTTGGTCTCCCCAGCACTCACTAGAGCGCTGGACGGTGGAGGTGGTGGGGTCGGCTTGCTTAGAGGTTGAGCCAGCTGCCGGCCCAGACATCTGCATTGATCTCAACTTTAAAGTTGGGATATTTCCACAGCCTGGACTTGGCTGTCAGCCGTTGTCAGCTGAAAAGGGGCCACAAGAGTGTCGAACTAAGTGCACTTCTGTGATCCATAGGGGAAGTAGGGCCAAAGCAGCTTTGACCATACTTCTTCAAGTCACTGACCAAGCACCATGCAGAATAGGAGTTCTGACTTCACTCAGACTTTTATCATTTGTATACTTAGTGAGGGCCATCCACTCAAACTATCGGAGCTTGTGTGTTGGCCTTACATTCAGAAAAGTAGCATTTTTTGACAGAAGGCAAAAACAACAGCTCCTGTATTTCGATCAAGATGGGTTTACTGTCACATAACATTTAGCCCCCATATGCATCACATAGGGGTGTTACATTAGTAAACCTAACAACTTCCAGGTCTGTAACCTGGGTCCTCTTTCATAAATAGTTTCCATTCCAATGTATGTATGGTATGGAAGGTATTGGAAGACGTCATCACACCTTACAGCTATAGCATAATAAAAGCAGCTATCAATAAAATGGAAAGCACCACCTTTGTTTTCACATAAAAGATCTACTCTAAGCAGACAACTGGGAACCAGGGTCAGAATTCCGCAACATGCAATGTAAACTAATACAGTCATGCCAAATACTTCTTGCCAAACAAGCAAAGCTGGAAGAGGAACATTAACTTTAGAGAATAGTCATCAAGATACAATAGAGACTAAGCATGAATACACAGAGAACAATAAAACCGAGATTATGAATACATTGCTTTTGTGAAGCGGACTACTGTTGAAGGAAAAAAAAAAAAAAAAGCATTTGCAGAATTCACCTAACAAAAAGGCCAAGGCAAGCTGCCCAAAGTATGTATTTTAATATGTAATAGCTTGACACGATGAGAGTGGAAAAGGAGGGGGCAAAAAACAATAGCAAGCAGGTGGGAATACGCATAGATGGCTGCCCATGTAGGGCATTTTTCGAGGCAACCCCCACAACCTAGAGAGGCATTTGCCCCACAGCATCATTTGGGAAGGGAGGGGGATTTCAGAAACTACTGGCCTGGAAAGTCCTCTGAGCCAAAAGATTTTTTTACTATAAAAAGAGCATACTAGTAGCAGACCTTAAAATCATAGCCCAATTCAGCTGAATTCTGGAAAGAATTGGCAAATCATTCCTAAAGGGAATCATTATTACAAAATTCATCCAAACAGGGAATTACCACAGTGTACACTGATCAGCCATAACTTTATGACCACCCAGCTAACATTGAGTAGGCCCCCCTTTTTCCTTCAAAACAGCCCTGACCCTAGATCTCTGAAGGTATGCTGTGGTACCTGGCACCAAGCCGTCAGTAGCAGCTCCTGTAAGTTGTGAGGTGGGGCCTCCATGGACCAGGCTTGATTTACAGCACATCCTAAAATGATCTATTGGATTGAGATCTAGAGAATTTTGAGGCCAAGTCAACCCCTCAAAACTCACTGTTGTGTTCCTAAAACCATTCCCAAACCATTTTTGCACTGAGAGGGTGCATTTTCCTGCTGAATCAGGCCACTGCCATCAGGGAATACGCTTTCCATGAAGAGGTGTACTTGGTCAGTAACAATGTTTAGGTAGATGGTACATGTCAAGTAACATCCAAATGACATCACATTGCCTCTGCTGGCTTGCCTACTTTTCACTGTACATCTTAGTGCCTTCTCTTCCCTAGGTAAGCAAAGCACATGCTCCCAGCCATCCATATGATGTACAGTGCCTTGAAAAAGTATTCATACCCTTTGAAATTTTCCACTTTTTGTCATGTTACACACCAAACTGACCATGTGCAGAGTGACTCCTAGGGCTCTGTACTATCAGAAAATGGACTGGGGACTGTGGAAGAAGGGGAGGATCAGAGACGACAGAATCAAACAGCCTTTTACACAATGCGGAGGATTAACCCCTTAAGTTCTACAGTGGGTATAATAAGCATGCTTTACTGCATATACAGAATGATTTTACTGATGTGGGTTTAGTAGCACTTTAAATCAAAATACAAAATTGATTATAATAGGTGGTCAGATCATCTTCATCAAGTTTAGGAACATTGTTTTCTTCCGAAACCCATGTTTGGTTAAAAGGAGACCAATGCCAAATGACAATATTTCTTCTGAAAGCACAAAATCATTCCAGAGGACCCCCTTAAGCAGTACTTTGGAAATGGAAGCAAGATAATCTTGAGTACTTTGGAATCGAGATCACCCCAGGTGACTTTGGAAGCGAAATCTCCTCGAGTACTTTGAAAGGAAGAACTCTATGTCTTATTAGAGGATGCTGGTATCTTTGTTGGTTTTCCTTTTTATCTACATTAAAGGATATGCAGCAAGGGAAAAAAGGCAGTCTCTGCTACAATAAAATACGTGAAACTTCATATAGGGGAGGAGATGGCAGAGCCTGTAGCCACAACATGGAATTTTCATTACAATGAGTCCTGAAATATTCTAGAAGTTAGTGATTCAACCTCTGGCCAACTAACCCAGATAGTTTGAATGGGAAGTCCCTTTAAGAAACCTATCACAAAGATACTCCACACTGAAGGGAACCCTACACTTGTTAGATCCTGAATAAAATATCTAAATTAAAAATGAATGCCCTCTATATGGTTCGTTTTTAGTTCCTTTAAGAAACTTTTAAGTATACGGCATTCTGTAGCATGAAACTTGCTGTTCTTATTGCACATCTAGGTCTGATATACTGCTACCCTGTGTCTAATATAGCTAATAAAACACTGAGATATGTTATCAATAGGGGCAAGAGACAATTATCCTCTCTTCTTACACTGACTGGGATCCCTGTGTGACATATTCAGCCCAATTAGACAGCTAATTATTGCCATAAAGCCATCTTCATCCTGTTAAGATGGTATAAATCTTCCCTGCTACAATATACTAGCAGACAGGATCCCCGGGGATGCTCGGCACAAGTATTTTTATATCCTGGCTTTAACTGCAAATTCAAACAGCTCTAGTCAGTTGTCGCCATCAGATTTATGGGACTATTTATCACCGTGGAATGGGAGTTGGGTGGACTGGATCACACACAACCTGATAGCAGCCAGGGCAACACTAAATAACTGCAGACACCAGCCTTACCTGTCAGTTTCTGCAGGACGCAGCGATGGAAGGCGAAAGCTCGTGTTTCTGTCCAACTTTGACTGACTCTTTGTCCTCTTGATTGAGCCTTTTAGACGTTTGCTGAAGAAACCCTTTGAGAAAAATCAGAAACAGTGAGGTACTTCGATCTAATTATATAGAAATAGGTTTTCAAAGTGTCAGGAAAATAAAGAACTGTCTGTAAAGCCCTACAGAGACTTATCAAATTCAAAACCAATTCTCCACCTGTCATTCTCCAGCTACAGGTCAAAAGGACCGTTTTAGAGAAAACAGTTGTATTCTGGTAACTGTATGTGGTTAATAACTATAACAGTTTTCAGTACAATTTTTTTTTTTTTTTTAAACAAGCTTTTAATCAGTATTTCTCTCCACATTTCCATGCAGACCAAGTAGCTGTTGCTAATGCGAACACAAACTTTACAATATTGCCAGAAGTGCCTACAATGGTCAGCTTTTATTCACATGGTCTAAACCCTTTTTCACAAAAGTAATATAAAAGAAAAAAAAAAAAAAAAATTCTGTAAGTGTTAGCTCGATGTAGGCTAAGGGCTCTTTTATATGGCTCCATTGGAAAAATGCATATTTGGTGGGTATTCTGGTTGCCTGACTCCAATCATGCACCTGTAAAACATGGGCATGTGACTCAAAAAGTGCACCAAAAATGCAACCACGGTGCATCTTTTTGATGCATTTCTATTCATTTCAATAGGGAGGTGCCTTTTTGGTGCGCTTTTTAAACATAAACCAAAAATGCAGCATGCAGGACATTTAAAAACACTCCACACCTGCCGCACATTGGTGTGAAGCGTTCTATGGGATTTAAAGGGATACATTTTTAATGCATTTTTGTTTTGCTTTTAAAACACCAAAATTGCATCAAAACCCGATGAGTGTGAAAGAGCCTTTTCATTTGTTTGTCGCTTATTTAAAGCTGCACGCCCATCGAAGACTGAGTGTTAATAATGGTGACAGACTGCATCACATACGTTATTTTTGATTTTGGCAATGCTAGCAATTCAATAGGGATCTACTGGGAAACACAATTTGAGTATAACAAATCAGAGGCCAACTGACATATGAGGAGCCCTGGAAAACAAGGTAAAGGTTGAGCCACTTTCTTCCTGACAGCTATATTATAATCAAAAATATTGCTTGGTTGTTTAGTAGGTCAATAACAAGACAAAGCAACATGATTGTTTAATGTCTGATGTGTTAATAACACAATGGAATACAAAAATCAATGTTAAGTGTTCTACAGCAGTGATAATAGTCTGCCATCTAGTGTATACTCCATAGGAGTATAGAGAATATGTAATCCAACAACTTACTTTTCAGTTGGGTTTACTACATATAATGATCATTCCAGGGCTAGGAGTCAGCAAGGAAGGCCTGTAGGGGGAAGCTGCCCTGGCCAACTCCACTCAGATAAAAGCAAATTCTCTGTTTTTTCAAACTGCTCTACAAGATGGGTCACCATGTGATAAATGTAACCGTTTTGCTATAAAGAAACAAACTAAAGGCAGCCATAGATGGTTCGATTCTCTGCTGGTTCAGCAGGGACTGGCTGAGATTCAAACCATCTATGGGCAGGTTGATTGTACCCAATTTGATTGTTGTACGACTTGTGTACCACCAGCCTGTGAGATATTTCATGCAATTATTGCCAGCGTCTATACCCGATAGCAATAATTACTGTGTTCTCCTGGCAGGGATGGCTCCTGTGGTTGCAGGAAAGAAAATCGTATCATCTACAGCTGGCCTAAGTGATTATTGGTTGTTTGACAGCTTAGTCTACCCAGAACAGACAGTCCGGTATCAGGTTTTTGCTAGTGCAACGAATCGCCTGTGTGTTTCTTATATGCTGTATCTTTCAATGTCTAACTAAATAATAGAATTTCTGTAATCAACACAAAAATCATTTTTAGCCTTCAGGTTATACTGTTTTCTACAGGAGGATTTAACACTGGGGAAAAAAACTGTAGGTCAGCCGAAGATAACCCTTCCTACAACCAGCATGCCTCAGTTTTAATTCATTTTTAGCAAAGCTATACTAAGTTTATGATCATAAACACCGGGGGGAAGGACCTTTGTTCCTCAATGGACACCAAGCACAAAAAATTTATTTTTTTTTGCTCTCCAATGAGGGACAGGATGTCCCTGACGTCTTTGTAGTACAGAGAGAACCATATTTCAGATCCCAGGAAGTTACAGGGGAAGGGACTAGAGGAGGTACATGGGAAAACCTCTGTACAAAAGGGCCTAAAAAAGTGAGAAGCCAAAGGTCTCAAACAGAATAGAAAGGGCAGAACCCTGACCTTTGATAGTGCTTTGACCCAAACACTGGTTAAGACCCAGTGAGGGAAAGGAGTGGATTCATCCTGGTGAAGAGAGGTGAGGACAGATTTGGAGATCTTCCTGGGACACCAGAAAAAATTTAAGGGGTTATCCTGGGCTGGCCTACAGTTTGCTCGTCAGTGTCAAATCCTCCTGCAGGCAGCAGTTTAACCTGAAGATTAGCAAATTTCTGTGAACCACAAAAGACTAGAAAAAATTTATTTTTTATAAATTTTGCCCAGATATTTATTTCAGGTACTTATATAGCGCCGTCCATTTACGCAGTGCTTTACATATATATATTGATATATATATATTAAAAAAAAAAAATTATAGGTTTTTTAAGTGTAACTCTGAGCCATCATGCACACTTGACAATTTTACAGCGGCTGTTTTTGGCCTTTGACATTTTTTTTTTCTACAGCTGGTAAACCCTCCAGCATGTTATCCTATGTGTCCATGCACAAAGACTGTTTTTTGGCTGGAAAAAAAAAAAACAGGACTAGTGGGTTTCTAGAGACGTTTTTTAGCTGGAAAAAAGCTCTAACGCTGAAAAATGTGGCAAAATGCAGTAAAACGCCGCAAACTACAGTTTTTAGTGTTATTTGGGTCAAAAAAGTCCAAAAACACCAAACACGGAAAACGCCTCTAATCACGGCAAAACGCCGCAAAAAAGCTAAAACACAAAAAAAACTGAAAACCGTTTTTAATGTGACTTTACAAAGCTAACATTACCAGCGTTATAAAAATGTCAAGTATGCATGAGGGATCAAACACACAAAATCATTTAAATATTTACACAAAACAAAATTTTCAGACCTGAAAGAACCAGGTACAATGTCCATCTCTCCAAATCTGCACAGCGTTTGTTTGCTACAATATTATTACGGGAACGGCCTACTATTCTCAGAGATACCCATCATGTTTAGGCGTTCAATATCAATTGACAGATATGAAAAATAGAATTTCTTTGTTGATTACATGATTACAGACCACACACTTCTTATATAGAAAGCTTTTACAAATCACATTTGTCCATCGCTGTTCATAGAGACCAAGTCAACCACACATGCTGAAGCCATTTTCAATTGACTTATTCTTTACTATGAAGCTGGTTATCGTCAGTTCACTTAAACCAGCTTGTCCTGTTTCCGTAAATGAGAAATTGCTAGCATCCCACCAAAGGGTACTATAATTAGACAATCAATGTCAATAATCTAGATTTAAACCTCTAATGATGCTTCAGGCATTCTGCAACAGAACGTTTAGTTGAGCTCCCATAAGCAATTTCATGCACAATGTGCCTTTGTGTTCAGCCAGCATAACATGGATATGCAGCAAATCTCAATTATAGTGCAAATATGGGGATTTTGCAAGCAGCATATGCCGAAGAATGTCTGAAGGTTATTTTATCATTTACAGTTGCTGTTCAAGATTACACAAATGACAACAAAGAACTGTCAAATTGAAAGTGCTTAGTTTTTCTTTTGATAGTACAGCTTATGGCAGAAAAGTCTTAAACAAATTTCACATTGCTATGTTCAGCTACCATGTGCTGAGGGAACAGAGGTTAGTTTGACTTAGAACAAACAGTTCAGACTTGTGGTTTCAAATAAAGTAGTATATTCCTTTAAAGGAAATCTATAATAATTTTGTACCAAGATGTGTATATATATATATATATATATATATATATATATATATATATATATATATATATATATATACACACACACTCTGTTTTATAAACAAACATTTGATAAACGATAAAGGATTCACAGAGTACTGTGGATTGGCAGCCGCCAAACTTATAGTACCGTAACACTATTCAATTTAGTGCAGTACCAGTTTTAAAAAAATTGGGCCTACACTACTTTTAGCACATAATTAATGTACTGTTCTAAATGTGTTGCACACAAATGCACTAAAAAGTGTACGTTTGGATGCACCCTTAAGGTCTGAACAAGTCCTGAAAGTAAATACAGTGGACAAGAAAATCACCCCCTTTACAATAGTTACGTTTTGTTGCTTTTCAGCCTGAAATGAAGACAGACACAGTTTTTGTTTTATTCTGCGGTATGTACTCAGTGCAACTTATAACATCCAAGTGAAAGATCTAACACCAAGATGCCAGAAAAATAAAATAAAAAACAGAATCACTGAGATGGAAAAAGGATTACCTCCCACTAATAAAAATGAATTGTAAACTCAATGAGGAGAAGATAATCACCTACTCAAGGGCACATAAAGCCATTTGACTTTAACACTGTGATCGGCTGTGGTCATTTTGATTAGAATGCAAAGAGCTTTCCTGGAGCATGTCAGTCCCTGGTACTGCAACTAAAGCAAACAATCAACTATGGGTGGCAATGCACTGTCAAAAGATCTGCAGGATAAAGTTGTTGACAGGCACAATCAGGAGATGGATACCAAAAAAATGTCAAAGGCTTTATCAATGCCTAGAAGCACAGTGAAGTCTATTATTAAGAAGTGGAAGGTATTTGGTACAACCCGGAGCCTCCCTGGATCTTCATATCAGGCTGAAAAGCAAGAAAATGTGATTATTTTAAAAGGGGATGATTCTTTTCTATACCCACTGTAAGTATTTACTTTCAGGACTTGCTCAGACCATAGGGTGCATCTGAGCATTTACACTTTTTAGTGCATTTGTGTGCGACGCAATTAGGAAAGTACATTAATTTTGCTCAAGAAGTAGAGCAGGCCCGACTTTTTAAATTGTACTGCACTAAATTGAATA